TGTCTGGCTCCGATCTCATATAGTATCTGCCAAAAAAAGAAAAAATTGAAGAAGGGATTTAATTTGTTTGGGAGCAAATAAATAAAAGGGTGACATCTTTTTTCGAGTATTTTTACTTTTAGTGACTTCTTTTTTTTTTATGTGAATTATGTCAATGTAGACAAATTTAAAAAGTAAAACATTTTTGAAAAATTCCAAATAAAGATTAAAATGCCAAGATAAGCTTAAAAACTCGCTTTTAACTTTTATGAATTGCTTTCAATTTTTTTTCTTTTTAATTTTTGGATTCGTCTCATTTGAGTAGAATCAGAAGCCTAAATATTTTTGAAAAATTTTAAAACAAGTTCACACAAAAATAAGTCAACAAAAAATATTTAAAAAAAATAAAATAAAATAATTCCAAACACCCTACACACATTGTAAACAGCAGTCTTAGGTACATCGATCGCTCTAATAGAAGATTACTTACGGCTAAGTAGATCTTCAACTCAAAGATGAGAGAGATTGCAAACTCATTAGGGTCCTACAAATAAATGAAATTCTAGTCGTTAAGACTCCTTACAGTAATAGTACAGAAGAAGAAAAAAAGAAAAGAAAAAGAAGAAGAAAGGAGGAAAGATTGACGACCTTTGTGTTTGATTTAGGATAAGTGAAAAAGTAGTCATTGGCTCCCGTGGAAATGAAAAAGATAGATTTGGCAAGATACTGTTTGCGAGCATCAGGGTCTGGAATCAAATATGGCAAGTCTTCTTGTACAGTCTCCTTAAAGAAGTCGATCTGTTGTTCTAAATTGAAGCATTCACTCTGAGAAAAGAAAAGAAAATGAACCAAAATAGGTCACGGATTAAAATCTTTTTATTTAAAAAAAAAAAAAACTACATATATTTACTATAAAACTACAGAAGTTCTATGGTACACACTGTTTAAAAAATGTATATTATATGCACTATGTTACGCATTATTGTAGTGTATATCATGTGTTTTATGATAAATATTACATAATTTTTTGATAATTGTAAGAAAATAGAAAACTCTATTTTAACAAAAGTTTTCTGCATAATATGTCCAGAATAATATGACAGTGGAATTTTCTGCACATTTTGTTTAATTTTTCTATTTACATAATGGTCCCGTTTGGTAGACACTGCATTCTAAAACCCTAATTCTCTCCCGTCCCAATCTCATCTCACTGTCGTCGCAGGAGCAGCAGCACCAACTGAACAACCATGGGTACGCATTTGTCGATCTGTTTTCATCTCTGGATACATTTAGTTAGTTCTCTTTCAATATTAATCTAAACCCTAGTTTTCGCTGATTATGATTCAAGATAATGTACTGTTTCATTTCCCGTTTCTCTTTTTTTGTTAGTTTGATTGATGGGTCTTTTAATATGATGTCATTTTTCAGAATTTGGGATATAGGGTTATTCTCACACCATTGTTAATGAATTTTGCATTGAGTTTTGTGGGATAATGAGTTGTTTTGGCTCTTGTTAATGATTGATTATTAGGTCATCTCCAGCACTTAAACAAATTTTTACTCAATGAAATTTGAGTAAAACGTTAATTTGATATGAAGCACTTCAATGGATAAACTCAGTCTTAAACATTAATTTTAGCAAAAGCTGTAGTTATGGCAGAGTTGTAAATTTGAAAGCTACAAAATGATTTTGAAAACTTTGAGTAAACATTTGAGTGGCCAGTAAAAAAAAGAAAAAAGATTGAATGTATATTTAGTTTTAGTTGTGAATCTTAAAAAAAAAAAAAAAAACATATGGGGAAATTAGTAGGTACCCATCCCCTGTGGATATTTAAAGAATATCACCTACCCTACCCAATGAATAAGAAAAAGAGGGGAAAACCCATGTATTTGGGTTGGGTCTCCATGGATACCCACAGGGTAGGTTATCCTTTGCCATCCCTACCCAACTCTCTGTACAAGATACTCACTCTACATTTCTCTATGTCCTCACCCTCTATAATACTCAAGATTTCTCTCTTCCTTGAATTGTGTTGAAATGGAGAAATGAAGCCCCTATTTTATAGTTGAAGCTCTAAAGACTTGAGTTGCAATTATAGAGAATGGATGGACCATCTTGTAAATACAAGAACTCCACACTTTCAACAATTGTGGCTTGGACGGTGCTTGCCTAGGTTGAACCATGCATGTATGTCAAACATGTATTCCATGGTCAAAGAAATACAACCATTCCATGGCTCAAATGGAGACATAATTTGCAACACATATTTCTTAAAGCTGAATTATCATTGGATTGTTTTAAGCTAATAGAAAATTAATTGGTGTACAAATATGCTTTTGGCTTATATATATATAGAGCTTTGGGTGTTTTCAGGTGAAGGTGGTGTTTGTTTTATAAATAAATAATAATAGAACTATTTGGTACAATTTATTAAAATGTTTTATGATGGGCATAGCCCAGGAGGGCCCAACCCATGGCCAAGAAGGCCTAACCCATAGTTGTCTTAAGCTCCCCAAATAGTCATGTGGTTAAAGCCCAGTAGGTGAAGCCAAACAACAGGCACAGTAAGGAGCCGGAGGAGCCGGTATTGGTAGCATTTGGACATGTATCAGGTAGGGGGTTAGCCACGTGACAGAAAAAGATCTTGCAAAGTTATTGACACTATACATTAGGCATTAAATGCAACAAGATCTTTCACTGTGAAGAATGGCGAACGGCCAACGGCAAGTATGTGGAAGGCTTTTGGCCAATGGGACAGCATGAATAGACAAGGAAATGATTAGCAGGCGATATAAGGAAGCTTTTGTAAAACGCTTGGGGAAGTAACTCTCTCTCTCTCTCTCTCTCTCTCCCTCTCTCTCTCTCTCTCTCTCTCTCTCTCTACCTCCAACTGTCTCTACATCACTATTCAGACCACGTTCGATCTAACTTGATCGTGGTCCACGGAAAGAAACCACCCCTATTTTGGTACCTTTCCACTGGACTTGTTGTAGGTTTGGTGAAGGGGGACTAAGGTTAGTTGTCCCGTGGAGTACTTGTATTAGTCTGACCCATCCCTTGTCGATCATGCTACATTATTAGTTGGTGCCAATTGTGGGAATCAATTCCGATTGACAGTTGTGTTCATTGTTGCTGAAAACGATTCCACCTTTACCTACTTTCCATTTTTGAAGTGAATGGTTACGACGAGATCCATGGCTTTACAACAAAATGCTGGCAACCCTCAAGCTAAGTCATCTAACCCAAACAACCCATCTCTATATTTTATAGAACTTAATATAGTATCAACTGCTTGGCTGAACAAAACCAAGCCTTGATCAACGCCTTGCTCCAGCGAGATCTACGTATTCCTCCCCCTCCACCACCACCAGACATACATCCAAACCCAGAACAAACCCAAAATCACCACCACCCATACCAACCACATGTCTCCAAAGGACCGATTTTCCCATTGTTTGTTCCAGAAGCTCAGCCATCAATCATGGAGGGCCTGCATCCCCCTCCTCAGGGCTCGCAACTTCATCAGGAGGAGCCTCAACTCTTCCATAATCGCCATCCACTGGATCATGCTTCTGCCCACGAAGGCGAAGCTAGTAGTGTTCAACCCCCACTTCATGTCAGAGGATACATGATGTACTGTCGCAGGCAACCAAATTTAAAACCTATACTCTTCAAAATATATGTAGTTGTGCAAGTAAGGATCGTTCCCACGGAGAGTGTTTATTCTAATTTTTTTTTTTTTTGGCTATGTGAATAAGGATGAGAGTTTGAGTAAAACAAAAACAATTTTTAAGAAGAACTAAGGACCAATTCAAATTAAAGTATCGAAATCAATCAAAAGAACAAGACTTGGTCTAAGTCAACATTCACCATCGGAATTTTACAACTGATCATTGATATAATATTATATCAATTAATACTTCAAATATTCATTGTTGGAACTATTTTCCTATCTCTTCTTAGTTGCAATTAATTAGAAAACAAGCGATTTAATTAAACTTAACTACTAAGGTGCCGTTTAGTAACACTTATGTTTTCAGTTTTCAGTTTATATTTACAAAAATTTTAAAAACTCAAATAAAAACTTGTTTGGTAAAAATTTTGATTTATTAATCTGTGGTCTCAGTTTATAAATTTGGCCAAAAAATGAAAACACAAAAAATGTGTTTACGTTTTGAGTTTTGAGTTTTTTTTTTTTTTTACTACCTAACATTAGCCACCGTTGCAATTATAG